TACTTGTAATAAAACGATAAATAGTTTGTCAAATTTATATTCATAAAAATGCAGTTTACAATGTTTTTTATTTTATAAAATCCGTTCTCTTGCGCCACCAGAGGGCCTTTTAAACAATAGGTAGTCTGTTAGCATTGATCAAAAGTAGTCTAAATTCAATACGAACGTTCGTTTTTTGAAAATTTGATCACGATTTAAATACAGTATTTAATTTTAATATTACCGATATGACATCAAAAAGAAAACGTGTTGTATTATCATTAAAACACAAATTAAGGTATTTGTTTCGATTATCCGGATTTTTCCTTATCCGGACTACCTTCATCCCCAATTAGTCCGGATAATAGAGGTTCTACTGTATNTTTGTTTCGATTATCCGGATTTTTCCTTATCCGGACTACCTTCATCCCCAATTAGTCTGGATAATAGAGGTTCTACTGTATATCATTTTCTGTAGTGAAACCAGGTCCTCAGCTAGTATAACATAAAGACAAGCTATATATAATACACATATTAGGAAATACCTGCAGTATGACATACATCTTAATGTTCTTATAACAATCATTAAATTTTTTAATTAAATTTCATTAAATTTGAATTCTGTAAATGAAAATTTTAATTAATAAATAAGAAAGCAATTAAGCCTCCTATATTCATGAATGTTTCCAATGTTCCTCAAATACATTTTTAACTTTACTAAATTAAAAATTAAATTTTTTTTTAAACTAAAAATAAAGAAATCTTTCAGATTCAGATTTCTTGGGTCAAACTGTTCTTTTCTAACTTTGTTATCTGCTGAGATTTTTCTATCAAACTTTCAAAGTAAATGTGTCAATTCATTATTCTTTCCTAGAAATTTATTGTATGATGCTACTAACTCATTTGGATACAAAATGCAATTGTTTTGAACTTCCCATACAATATAATTGGAGACCATATTCTTGTTAAATTAATTCAAAATTATTGGGTTGTTCGGAAAGTAATTTCGGTTTTTTTCCATGAAAAAACACACAATATAACATAAATATTAAATTTTACTGTTTTATAATAAGTTTTGTTTTGTTATCATTGCATTTTTAAAAATACTTAATTATATAAACATAACTATACCTTCATTTATAATTGTAATACAGTGGTACCTCGGTATACGTCTGCTTTAGAATACGTCCAATTTGGAATAGTCCTGTTTGGATGAAACAAATTTTGCTCAGTATACGACTTTTGTTCGGTATACGACATAATTCAATTATACGCGCCATCAACGAACAAGTACCACTATCGATGTATTATACCAGACTAGACGTTTGCGGTGCAACGGTTTATAACTTTGTTTAATTTCTTCTGATTTTAATTCGTAAGTAAAATTTTATTATTTTTATTAATCACGAATCGCAAAAAGGCAAATGAAAAGCGATAGAAAACTAAAAAATGACTAGAATTACAATGGAACTGATAAAAAAGATTGTCGAGAAATACGAAGGTGGCACGCGTGTTCGAGATTTTAACTGTTGCCTACCGTATTCCGAGAACGACGATATGGACAATCGCGAAAAATAAAGACATTATTAAATCCGCTAACGTTGCGAACGGGGTTAAATCAATTTCTAAACAGAGATCGAAGACATTAGATTATGTCGAGAAATTGCTTTTGCTTTGGATAACTGAAAAACTGTGCTGGAGACAGCGTATCGGAAGTAATTATTTGCGAGAAAGCTGAAAAGATACACGCTGATCTCACAAAAAATCAAGCAGGAACTAGCCAGGAAAGCGAGGTGTTTAAAGCCAGCCATTTTTTTTACACGAGAACGGATTAATCATTTTTACATTACTTCTTATGGGAAAGGTTGGTTTGGTATACGTCCAATTCGGTATAAGATCGTATACCGAGGTTCCACTGTACTTTATTACAGTTATTATTAGTGATGAGACAATACCAAAATTTCTCCCAATTCCGATACAATTTCCAATTCCTTTGAATACAGTACTTTCTAAAGTTTATTTTAGTTTAGAAAAATTAATGATTTACATTACAAGCACAGTATCTTCATTAATTAATATTAATGAATGTATTGTGCTCATAACGTAAATTGTTAATTTTTCTAAATCTGATACACATCAAGCTGAAGAATGGAAAATGATTGTAAAATCCAGAATCAAACCTCAAAAAAAAAAAAAAAAAATTCTCCATTTACAAGTAGATATGCACATTTTTATTGTATACTACAAAATAAATTTGTAATCTTATTTCAGATAAAGTTGACATTGCAATACTACCCTCAAAGAAATTACAACTAAGTAATTCCCTTTTTTTACTCAAAGAACTGTCCCATTGTGTAATGTTGGGTTGCCCGCCATCTTTGTAAACTGCTTTGTTGGCCAACATGATGAGTGTGGGGAGGGGAAGATAAATGAGAAAATGCATTTTTTTTTATGCTTCTCACAATGGGCATGTCTTGTAAATAGTTTAACTCCATCATATTTGATACTAAATGAGATTTGGCAAATGAGCAGAAAAAAAACATTGTCACAAGTTAACCAACTTTTGAATTCATTCCCTTGAGCCACAAATATCTAGACTAGGGTTTCTCATTTCCCGGGAAATTTGCCTCCAGCGGGATTACAGGAAAAATAATTTCTTTTCCCGGGATCCCGGGATTAGATAGTAAAATAGAATTTTATATGAATAAAAAAGATCATACAGGAATATCATAAATTTGAATAATTTAATTTATTTTCTAGTAAGTAACTAAAAGTGTAGGGCCAATCTCACCCATACGGACACGTTAGGCTCAATTAATTTATGTTCTCCTACATTATAAGATGAAAGTAAAATAAAGCGTTTCATTGGGAGTTTTAATGATTACAAAAAAAATACTATTTTACTTCTAAAGATGAAATAAAAAATAAACTAAAGTGCGATGAGTGATATTTACTTTCAGCAAGTCTCCGCTGTTCAATGATGCGCAAACACAATACATAGATATTACATGAACTAACAAGTAGAGACTTGTAAAACATAGGTAGTAATATGCAGCATGAAACCTCAAAATTTCTCTCTTAGGTGAGTCTTCAAGATGCAACTTTTCGTATAATAAATAATAGAAAGAAAACCTGACATAGTAAATTATTATTGAAATGCGAGATTTCCCGGGAAAATAAAATTTTCCGGGATTTTTCTCGTAGGGAATAAACGGCGAGAATCCCGGGAAAGAAACCCTAATCTAGACCAACTTGTCTTGAAAAATCAATTTTTACAACTCAAAATGGCATTAAACTTAGCATAAAGAAGTATTTTTACTCAGAATTGCATGAATCTCATTTGAAAATTTAACATATTACATCATATCTGTGAATCATCATAAAAATTTTAATAATTATAATGAGAAAGTCATTTTATCATTATAAGTAAACATACTAAATATTAAAAAAAATTTATTTATTATTGTTTCAATTAATATATAATTTTGTTTACATTTTAATCTGTTTTGACAATACTTAAATATTTTTGCTGACTGCTTGCCTCAATTTGAAACTCGATAGCTGGATAGTTCAATCAATGTTAACTCACTTATAATTGAAATTTTTAAAAAGAAGGCAAATTTATGAAACAAAAATTACAATATTAACAATTAAGATAACATGAAAGTTTCCAATAAACTAAGTCTAATTAGTTTATTAGACTTAGTTTATTGGAAACTTTCATGTTGACAAAGCAGAGAGTATGTGAACCACCATACATGAAGTGACATCTCTTATGGTGGACTCTTGGACATGGAATGTTTAAAACATTCCATATTTACATACTGCGTTGAGTAACAACAATGTTGTTACTCAACGCAGTGTTAAGATTAGTAGTCGTTTTGTGTTAGAAACAAAAATTAATGAAATTACTAAAACATCAAAATGAATGTAAATTTGATTATCTTTTGTGCAAAACAACACTTAATCAATTTCCATAGTTATGTCGCAAAAGAAAGAAAGAGTTGCAATTAATTTAAATAATCAGAATTAAAAATTTAAAAAATGCAGACAAAATTAAATAAATAAAAACAATAATTAAAATAAAAAATAATAAAATAATAATTAAAACTCTGGTCTTTACACCAAAACCAAAAATAAAATCAATTGAAAAATAAAAGAATGTTTTAAAAACCATTTAAAAGTTGTTTGGAAATTTTTAAATTGTAAATCAAATTAATTTTTTAATTTATGTTGTTTATCTGCAGTGGTAATGCCTAAACAAACTTTTCTTTTAATATACATGGTATAACAGAAAGGTGTGTAAAAAATTTGAGGGGTTGTTAATTTCAAATTGAAAACTCTAGGGTCATTTTTTGATTTGAAGCATTCATTTTGAGTTATAAAGTAATTTTAAAAATGTGAAATCACTTCATGTTTAGCAAAATGCCAACTGATGTATGAAAATATTTGTTGATACTTGCTCGTTAGTTTGATATTCATTACTTATTATCTGCAATTTTATTAATTTTTTACTTGGGTTTTGAGTCTTTTTTGTAACAATACATGGCTTAACTATATAAGTATGCTTCAGGCTAAGTTCCACAATTAGCCAAAATTTGCATATTCAAAAATGTTCTTAGAACATTACAAATATGGAATGTTTTAAACATTCCATGTCCAAGAGTCCACCATAAGAGATGTCACTTCATGTATGGGGGTTCACATACTCTCTGCTTTGTCAACATGAAAGTTTCCAATAAACTAAGTCTAAAAAACTAATTAGACTTAGTTTATTGGAAACTTTCATGTTATCTTAATTGTTAAAAATTTTTAAAATTATATTATTAATCTCAGAGAGAAACAAATAATTAATTTCCTTCTAAAATGTGGAAAAATCATTTTTAAGAATCGAAATCGTAACAAAATTTTTTTGATTCTGAAAAATGTCCAATTCCAATTAATCATCCCATCACTAGTTATTATACAAGTTAATAATGATAATTTTTAATAAATAGATAAGAGATTATAAAACTATTTACCTCATCATTATTTGATTTTTCTATTTTTGGCTTTTCTGGTTCTGCTGGTTTCACATTATTATGAAAAGATTTAGTACATCCCTATAATAAATAATTTCCTTAAATTACTAATTTATGCTGTTTAATAAAAATGATTGAAATTAAGAATATTTCTATACTTAAATTTCTTATTAAATCAAAAATTATTGGTTACATTACAAATAATATTATTATATTTAGAAAACAAAATTATATCAAGATAATAAACTTTGTATAATTTTAATTACTATTTTGTTAACATATATTAATATATATGTTATAACATATTTTGTTAATAACTATATTGTTAACATATTTATAATGTTTAATACTACTTGTCATCACATTTGTATCTTTCATATTAGTTATCATGCTCTGTAGTGAAACACTATCACAGTAAAATTGAAGGCTTCTTAGCTGACCTATATATTTATAATTAGTAGTGTATATTTGATATGCAGCCATATATAAAGCATCTTTACTATCATTTACCCTTTCTGGAGTATAAATACTTCATATATCATTTGTGTCATCAAAATAAGTATACTGAATGCATTTATGTTGATAAAATAAAATTTATTATAGTTTATTTTTTAAGTGATTTATTAAGAAGAAATTAAGTAAAAAAACCACCATAAAATAAATTGGACTAAATACAATTTAAATTATTTTTCTTCAAAAAAATAATTTTTCCCAAATTAAGAATTTATTTTTAAGGTAAAATAATTCCTTTTGAAACACCTTTAACATTAATGAGAGAAAAAACTAAGAAAAAAGCAAGCATAACAATAAGTGAACATTATATATGCATCTTTTTTCTTGTTGATTTTCCTGGATCTCTATGTTGCCAAGTTAATGATAAGATTTTGATAATTGATAATAGGCATAGATTATTCTATGATGTAATTCTGATTTCTATTTCTAGAGATCAGAATTACATCATAGAAATTAGAATATCATAGAAAATCATAGAAATAGAAATCAGAATTACATCAGTTTGCAACCGTTTTGAGAGACCACACATTGTAGCCTCTCAAAACTGTTGCAAATCTATTTTTTTTTCTATTGGTCTTGATATGAATGATTCACACACCACACTTATTTCAAGATAAAGTTTAAGAAGTGTAAGCTACAGTTGAGAAGTAAATTTTACAACATACAACATTAATTAATAATCATGTATCTATCATCTGTGAATACCAAAAGAAATCATCATTATAATCTAACTTACCATAAATAATATACCAGTAATCTAAAATAAATTTTAAATCACTAAATCTAACAAATAATATATACATTTCAGGGTAAGAATGGAGAAACATTTTCTATTGTAAATGGGTTAATAATTATCTTTTCCATATGTCTTCATAAAATTTGCTTTACTTTTATTATGATTAAAAAATACAAAAAAATATTTTTTAAAATAATATTTTCAACTAGTTTACCTGTCGCGCATTGCTGTAATCTCAGAAGAAACAAAATTCAAGCAAACTCTTTATGATAAAATTAAGTTTACATTTTATCATTTTTATTGAAACTTATTATTATTATTATTCATTTTCATCGGGAAAACATTTTAAAGTGTCGTTTCAATTTTATTTATTTATTGGAGTGCTTTGTGGATACACGATATTTTTTGTTTTTCCGTCTGGTGCATATACGAATAAATCAGAAGGTTTTCTGACGCGTGAGTTGGCCACATACAGTTGTCCATGCGAGAAGCACGGTTTCTTTAAATTTAGCCCACATACTCGCAGAGATTGTTAGAAGTGCGATATTCCCCATTTTTATATATATATTTTTTAATNTGTCTGTATAATTCAAAAAGAAATTAAATATTGGATTTTGAATAATTAAATAAAAATTACTACTTTACTATTTACATATGATATAAAAAAATACAAAAAAATAATAAAAATTAAAATGTAGACATTTCTTTTAAATTGATGACCAAAAATATAATTAAGTTTTCCAGATCATCATCTATCTTTCTTAGTTTTTACTTTTTGAGAATTATTTCCTGGAATGAAATGTTGAATAAAACAGATTTTGTAATTTACTAAATTCAACCATAATTTTTTCCAGGACAGAAATGATACCTAAATTAGGTTTTGATAAAAATTATAAATACAAGCAAATTGCTGGACATTAAACTTGTAACACCAAGGTGGTCACATACAATCATCTCAAATATATAGAATACATAGATCATGAGAAGACATAAAACTGATTATCAGCACAGAAGAAATGCAAATCATGTTTCTTGAAAGCAGTATTAGAGGGGAGAGACCAGAGGGCTTTTATAAGTATTGGAATTGTATTTTCTCACTGTTCTTGTATACAGATGGCTTAAGTATGCCTTGTCAAAAAATAGAGCAGCCATACCAGCAGGTTTCCAATTTTGATAAAAGAATTGAAATATCAAGAATTGAAATACAAGATTGGATTATCCTTCCATACAATTGGTGCTTGTATTGAAAGGAATGTGGCTTCAGTGAATCAGTGCAAATATGGAATCAGTGAGTCGAGAAGGGATGAATGAACCAAATGAAAGACCCTAATGAATACACCATACCACCAAATGAGAGGACAGATGTCTTATCCACTCATCTCTTGAAGATCATACAGCCACATCACAAATCCTACTCAAGAATTAGTGTTGCACAACAAAACAGTCTTTACATGGATAGTTCAATGCCATCTGCAGCATCAGGAAATTTTTGCAAGGTGCTTATTGCTTCAGCTATCTTTTGTGTACCAGAGGCATCACAGCTGCAATAAAGAGATGAATGTTAAGACATTATCTTTTCAGACAGATCCTACTTCTCTCTGCACAAGTGTCCAGTGATACTGCAGCAAAAGACAAATGAGGCTTGCATTATGCATCATCATACTGGACCAGCAACTGTGTTATGATATGGGCTATTGCATTCAAATCATGCTTACACCTAGTATATATTCCTGGGAAATTGAACATCCATCATTACATCACTGAGGTGCAAAAGCATGTTGTTCCTTAACTTCAGGACCTGCCTGAGACCACTTACCAAAAGGACAATGCATGACCATATGTGGCATGGATTGTCCAACAATACATCAATCGCCACCATATTCCTACTTCCATATTCCTAAGTGAAAGGTGAAACAGCCTGCTTTCTTAATTATACTGTTTGTATAATTAAAAATGTAGAATCTATACAATGTAAAATTTTGCATTAATAGTTATAAAGATTTTATTTCAAATGTGCACATATTAATTATAATTGTGTGTCATATGTTTTTTGTCCAGACTACATTTACTCTTATCATTAATAGCTAAATTTACAGTATGTTGGAGCTTCATATTTTTTATTTCAACAAATGCATATTTGTAATAATGTGAAATAACCACATCTTTTGCCTATTGAATACATGTGGTTCATGATTTCACAATGATTGGAATATCACAACAAATGAACTGTGGTAAAATGTTGAAACAGCATGAACTGACATCCCAGGCACACATCTAATGTCTGTTCCTCTCTATGCCAGGCTGTGTAGTAGCAATTACCATATTTACTTGCATATAAGACAAGGTTTTTATTAATTTATCACAGTTTCAAATTCCTAGGTCATCCTATATGCATGAGCGAAAAATTCTTTGTGTTTTTGCAAATAATTTTTGTGAATTGTGTATTTGCATTTTTTACTGGATGCTTACCCTCTGGTATTTAAGAACATAAGTATTTTATCTGGGTAGTTTTTGTATATTGTCAGGAGTAACAATGAATAGCAATTGGAAAAGCAAAGCTTTTGAATTGAATTCCAGATTGAAATTCCAAAATGACACGGGAGTACGATATAAGTTTTAATCCATTCCCACATGAAAACAGATGATTATTTGGAAATCAGAATTTGGAGAAAGTGTAATTGACAGAGTGAATTCGAATGTTAAGAATTGGCAAAAAGGGTTCCGGATTGTCCAGCTTTACATGAACAAATTATGTTGTCAATTTTACAAGATTTGTCCTTAAAGTTTAAAATGCCAGTAATTTTTTGGGGACAATATATGCATTTAGGTGCATTTGATATTTTACTTGTGATTAAACAAAATAAAATTAAAATTGTATTAATAAATCTAATTATCTTTATTTTGATCTTTAAAATAAAGATAATTAGATTTACTTGTTGTCCTATATGCAAGGTTGTCTTATATGCAAGTAAATATGGTATTACCACCAGGTGGCTGCAGCTACTGATTTCTGCATGTTCTGCAGCTGAAACCAAGCTGAAATTGTAATTGTTTTTAATTTATAATCATTATATCCAAATTTAGCCTGATCATTTATGGCAGTTGTGGGTGTATATTTTCTTAATACAACAGGTTCCGTTGTGTATATTTGTAATCATTTTGCCCTTGTTCCATGAATTATCTGTATAATACATACAGATCTGATAGCTCTTGTCCTCTTACTTTACAATCTTAATCGTTAGCAGTGTATGTTATCCTTTCATAGATTTATACAAAAGAATATGTAAAAAATGTTTAGCTAAATTGAAGTTTAAATGCTATTGTGCAATAATTTGATTAATTATACCATAATTGATGTTGCATTGCTGATATTAAAAGAAAAAAAACTAAATTTTAAATCCATAATAAAAATAAATACTGAAAAAAAAAAACTAACAATTTTTAAACAAGAACCTTGTATTATTTGATTTTTCACTTTTTACATATTGTAGTTGCTGAGAGCATTAACTAAAAGATTGATACTCCAATATTGATAACTTATCCAACAATGTTTGTTGTGGATTTATCAATTATATGATGTAGCAATTCTTCACTTACAACAAGTTAAAATAACAGATGTTGAAAATTTTTTGGACTAAAATAGTTTTTACGGTGAAACAGCCTGCTTTCTTAATTATACTGTTTGTATAATTAAAAATGTAGAATCTATACAATGTAAAATTTTGCATTAATAGTTATAAAGATTTTATTTCAAATGTGCACATATTAATTATAATTGTGTGTCATATGTTTTTTGTCCAGACTACATTTACTCTTATCATTAATAGCTAAATTTACAGTATGTTGGAGCTTCATATTTTTTATTTCAACAAATGCATATTTGTAATAAACACCATTTAGACTTTGTGTTTAGTAATAGTTCATTACCAAATACCATTTGTCAATTCTTTTAGTAATAGCTCATTATTAAAAAAATTGGCAAAATGGCAAAGAAGAAAATTATGTGTGTCTAAAATGAACAAAGAGTAATTATTTTTAATAGATTTGTCCTAATTTTTATAAATATATAGAAAGGGTCCTTTCAAGGTTTATCAAATATAATAAACTTACTAACTTTAATATTCAAAAATTCAGTAAAGTCTGTTGTTTTTCTATTACAGCAAGACCAACTCTTATAGGCATCATGAAAAACAGGAACTCCAGGATGAAATATACAGGAATCTGAAATTTCAAATGTAAATTTAGTTAAATAAATCAATTACTAAAATTAAAATAAACTGACATTTTAATTTTTTATATAAATTATTTAGTATCAATTATTTAATGAATAAAAATTAGAAATTTTTATCAGTTTAAAGCAAACAATAAATCTCATCATTGATTTTCTTCAATTCCACAAAAAGAAAAAAAGAAAAAATAAATCCAGAAATTCATAAGGTATTTACATACAAAATATATAATCAAATAACAAAGAAAATCCATGCCTAATTTTAGAAATTATGTAACTATCACTGTCAGAAATTTAAAAATTTTCAAATTAAAAAATTGTATAATAAGAACATTACGAAAAAAAGTTTTGCTTTATTTATTAATTTTAAAGAAATCAAAGAGCGGTTCAACACACACAAATTTTGGGAGATAGCATGAGAATTTTATTTTTAAAAGTATTCTTAAAGTTATTTGCTTTTTCATATTCTACATCATATGTTTGGGGAGTGTTCTTTTAAATCTCAACAGCTATTTTAATGGCTCTCAACTTGCTATCTAATGTGTGTAATAATAATCATTGGAAATGCATTCCACAAAAATACCAAAATTATAAATAAAATTAATTTATATTTATTTGTACAGTATGACAAATGAATAAATATTTTAACAAATTAATGAATATTCATCATTAAAGATTATTTTTAAATCAAAGTACAATTTAAAAACTTTATACAAATTAATAAGATGTCATTAAAGTGCATTAAAGATAATAGTAAAGCTGATAAATTACATTTTTATGTTAATCAGCTATGAAAGAGTAAGATCTTTGAATAGTTTTTTTAAGTTAATGGAATGTTGATTAAGCTTTTCTTGTGTTAGATTCTTTTTACCTTGCTAATCAATCTAAGACTAATTGCACTTTATTGAATTTGATATTTTGTAAATGTAATAATTACAATTTTTGTTACTATGAAGTATAGAAAATCTAATTTTAAAGGTAACTATTCTAATAAAGTTTTTTGTTTTTTAAGAATTTCTGTTGCCTGAACCTTTTATTTTTATATATCAAAGTTATTTTATTTAATCTTGTAATTCAATAGACCTACAGTAACTGGAAATATCTTTAAAATTCACTTTTCTACAATTATATAGGAAGAGAAAATATAGTAGGTAGGCTTTATATCTTCCCAGCATATCATTGTGTTACAAGCATTTTGTTTTGGATTTATGTTTTCTCCTCTACCAAGGACTGAAAAATCAAATAAATAAATAACACCAAAATTACAAATGCTTGTCAAAGATCTAAGAGAGAAAATAATAAAGAACCAACAATGCTTTTTTAAAATAACATAAATAAAATATTTGGCTTAAAATACTTTTTACTTTATTCAGACATATCTTTCTAAGAACGATTATAGGATTTAAATGATTGAATTCAAATTTATTATATTAATCTATATAAAAGAAATTATAAAAATATAACAGCCCTATTTTATTATATTATGTTATAACAAAGATTTTCATTAAAAAAAAATATACTTTTTGATCTCTATGACTACTACCATATAATTAATTTAATGTTTGTTAATGTGATCTGCTTGTCCCATTTATTAACTAAGCCATTTCATCAGTAGCAGTGAAATGTTAGGACAGTGTTCATTAAATGTGCATGCAAATTCAAGTTTTTTTTAATATTGCTCTATACATAAAAATTGGAAAAGTTAATAAACATTTCTCAAGTAACAAAACTGAAAAATCAAAGAGTAACTTCTGTATTCTATGATTAAGAAATTAAGTAAAGGCTATGTAATAACAAATTTTATAATCACTTTTATAAACTTAAGATCCTTAATACTAACTTCTCTATGGAAGTAGATATATTCTACATATGTGCAACATAATGGTCATGTATTGTACTTATTATCAAATTAAATATTCTCTTATATATTGAATATAATTTGATATATGCACATGTTTATTAAAATGAATCAAAGTAAAAGACATTGCTATTAGAAGTTTAAACTCTTGTAAATCATGAAAACTACATTGATTATATGATTATTTATAGATTTAAATAAGTAAATTATCAAGTACAGAAAAATGTAAATTTTTATATAACTTTGAAATGCCAATTTTTAGGGAATTAGCTCAATATTCTACCAGCCAAACTATCATCTAATAACTGATTATAACTGGAATATTTATATAATGACATAAAAAGATGTATGACTAACATTGCAAAATGTATATTGTACAGTGGTGTGTGGTGACATTTGATGTTAGGGAAGCTGTGTCGGCCCCAGATAGAATCATTGAAAGCGTTATACGATATTTTGGTGTGTAGCAATGACAAGCTAAACCATGTGAGGTTGGTGCTCTGTAAAGTGCATGTGTAAATGCATGTAATCTGGCTGCTTTACACGATTTAAATATTTTCGCCACGGACACTGTCCTGTATTCAACAATACAGCACTTCCGTTGGGAATATGTATACACAAATTTATATTCGAATGTACAATGGCAATCTTGTCATTTTTTTTTTCACATATAGTATAGAAATTTGTAATAAGATCCATAATGCGGTTACAATAAAATAATTTTAATTGATTCAAAGTATGTTAAAATATGAAAATAATCGTACAATATGGATTTATATTTTAAAAAATACAAGGGAAGTGGCACTTCCACAGCTTCCATGAATGGCATGCCATTGATATTGTATGTATAATGTATAACATACATTGTAAAATGTATTGTATATATAATATGTAATATGAAAAGTACAGATAAAAAAAAAAGTGTAATTAAAAAAAATTATTTTTTGGAAAATATAATTAACTCTCAGATAAGATATAATCAAGAAACACTTAATCTTTGATGCTAAATAACAAAGAGGTATTTTGATATTCTTTGGGTGCTGTTTTTCGGAATATACAGTTGACCCCCCTATAACACTGTTGATTATTCCGTTTTATGTGAATTCCATGTTGTATGAGTCACTTAGATTTTATAAATGTGTGTGCTGGGCTGTGAAAGGCTCACGTATTTACTATTATATATCTTTGTAAAACACTATTAAATAATCTACAGCTACAATATTATGTCATTAAGGACATTTTCCTTTGACCTATTTACTCCCTCTAAAAGTTCATTTCTATTCCTAAATACTTAGAGCAATGGGAATCAAACATCATAAGCTTAAATAAATTTTGCTTATTTTCTGGTTGCTTTTATATGATTGGCCTGTTCTTTCCACAGATACTTTCAGTGTAACACAGTTTTAAACACAACCAATATGACATATTTTCGAACTTTACTTAAGGCTATTATATACGAACAAAATTACTTATATGACTACGATGTACATATTAAAAATAGTGATGTTCCGGATATCCGTATCCGTATCCGTATCCGCGGATATCCGAGGGAAAAAAAAGATCCGTATCCGTATCCGTATCCGCGGATCTAGACACTAATTATCCGTATCCGTATCCGTATCCGCGGATATATATTTTTAATGATCCGGCACATCACTAATTAAAAATAGCAGCGATTCAAATAATGCTAACTTTTTTACGACTAACGATGTAATATGCGGTTTCAGTACACGCTACCATCATTTCGACGCCATCTTTGAGAGAGGAAGTTTTACTTCCGAGGTAGCATGCTTTCGCCAGTATCTTTAAATGTCCGATTNAAAAAAAAAGTTGAAATAAAGTGATTAAACAAAAATTATTACAAATATCCCTAAATAATAAATGCATATATACAGATATTTTTTGGAGGGGGGAATGGTCTTCACAATTTGAAATCGATCGAGCACACAGTGCTCGAATGCTCGTATAAACGCGCGCCATCTATCGTAGGATAAATGTACTATGCCAAAAACCTTCGCGGGAGTGTATTAAAAAACTTCCCAAAGCTTATTGGCAATCGTACTATGCCAGAAACCTTCGCGGGAGTATATTAAACAACTTCCCAAAGTCTCATGGCAATCGGATAAACGATGTGGTAATGCATGAAGGACAGACAGACATACATTCATTTTTATATATATAGATTAGCAAAACTATTTAAATACTAATGTAGTACCTAAACAAAAATATTTATTCATGGTTACATAAAATGAAATTAATAAATTAATAACTTTGAAATATGACTCCTCTCTTAAGTAAATATAAATGACACCTATATAAAGCTAGATATAATATTTTAAAAATACAACAGAGCCCAAATATAGGTATAACTGCAAACTACAGTTATTCAAAAAAAATAATAGAATTTTCCTTATATTGATATTTTTCTTATTATAGGAAATTACAATAGTTTATTTCATTATTATTTTATTAACAGGTGAAGTAATTCTTTATTACCCAGAAATAATGTAATAAAAAAGCAGCAGCAAAATTTATCATTTAGTGTATTTAATCTGATATATAACTTTAACATACTATATATGCATATATGCAGTACAAACTTAGCTATCTAAATTTGAAAAAGCTAATAAAAAATAGTTTTTATTAGTTTTTCACTTTGTCTACTTTACAACTTTAAGGCTAATGTCAGACAAATGTGAAAACAGATGGATGTTGATTTTGGAAGTACAGGTGTGAAAATTCATGGTGGCAGTCAGTCATCAGACAAGTGCTACATTTCATGGAATGTATTAGTAGTCAGTTTCATTTTGGATGTGCATATGTTGACACGAATCTTGTAGAATGTGATGCACTGTTTTTTATTATGTACAGAAGTATTTAAAAACAAAAAACATGGGCAATATTGGGTACATCCTTTTGATTGTGACCAGCCTTCCCTTTTTTTATTTCTGTCTTTATTAAGTTCAAATAGTTTCTTACAATTCTGGCCCCCTCACTAATTTGTATGATCATTTTACTTATATCAATGTGCATTTTTTAAAATACACAGTTACCATACACCCTTCAGCAAGAACAACACAAACTCAGCACTTCCTCAAAACAATGTTACAATGTCCTTCATTTTTTACACTCATCTGATGACTATAGGCTTCGAGTGTATCTCCCAGTATGTAATGGTTGTGCTGTCACGAGGTTATTGTGAATGATCCAGCAGCCTGTCCATAATGTAGCATCATTTTTTGCATCCACGTACAGTACGTCTGACTACTCCCATGTGATTTTGCAATCCTGTGATGTCCATTAAAAAAGATGGATGTGAAATCATGCTCATATGACATTAGCCTAGACAAATAATCATATAAATAAATAAATATAAATGAATAAGAAATCTCCATATTCAAAAATAAAATGGTTAGGACAACTTGCAATAAAACAGTTCAAGAATAGAGATTCAATGAAAATTTTGTGTAGTTTTCAAAGAGTATTTATTTTTATAAAACTTTTGTAAAAATTATTCATGATTTGAGTTTAAATAAAATACTGTTTTGTCTGTATAATTCAAAAAGAAATTAAATATTGGATTTTGAATAATTAAATAAAAATTACTACTTTACTATTTACATATGATATAAAAAAATACAAAAAAATAATAAAAATTAAAATGTAGACATTTCTTTTAAATTGATGACCAAAAATATAATTAAGTTTTCCAGATCATCATCTATCTTTCTTAGTTTTTACTTTTTGAGAATTATTTCCTGGAATGAAATGTTGAATAAAACAGATTTTGTAATTTACTAAATTCAACCATAATTTTTTCCAGGACAGAAATGATACCTAAATTAGGTTTTGATAAAAATTATAAATACAAGCAAATTGCTGGACATTAAACTTGTAACACCAAGGTGGTCACATACAATCATCTCAAATATATAGAATACATAGATCATGAGAAGACATAAAACTGATTATCAGCACAGAAGAAATGCAAATCATGTTTCTTGAAAGCAGTATTAGAGGGGAGAGACCAGAGGGCTTTTATAAGTATTGGAATTGTATTTTCTCACTGTTCTTGTATACAGATGGCTTAAGTATGCCTTGTCAAAAAATAGAGCAGCCATACCAGCAGGTTTCCAATTTTGATAAAAGAATTGAAATATCAAGAATTGAAATACAAGATTGGATTATCCTTCCATACAATTGGTGCTTGTATTGAAAGGAATGTGGCTTCAGTGAATCAGTGCAAATATGGAATCAGTGAGTCGAGAAGGGATGAATGAACCAAATGAAAGACCCTAATGAATACACCATACCACCAAATGAGAGGACAGATGTCTTATCCACTCATCTCTTGAAGATCATACAGCCACATCACAAATCCTACTCAAGAATTAGTGTTGCACAACAAAACAGTCTTTACATGGATAGTTCAATGCCATCTGCAGCATCAGGAAATTTTTGCAAGGTGCTTATTGCTTCAGCTATCTTTTGTGTACCAGAGGCATCACAGCTGCAATAAAGAGATGAATGTTAAGACATTATCTTTTCAGACAGATCCTACTTCTCTCTGCACAAGTGTCCAGTGATACTGCAGCAAAAGACAAGTGAGGCTTGCATTATGCATCATCATACTGGACCAGCAACTGTGTTATGATATGGGCTATTGCATTCAAATCATGCTTACACCTAGTATATATTCCTGGGAAATTGAACATCCATCATTACATCACTGAGGTGCAAAAGCATGTTGTTCCTTAACTTCAGGACCTGCCTGAGACCACTTACCAAAAGGACAATGCATGACCATATGTGGCATGGATTGTCCAACAATACATCAATCGCCACCATATTCCTACTTCCATATTCCTAAGTGAAAGGTGAAACAGCCTGCTTTCTTAATTATACTGTTTGTATAATTAAAAATGTAGAATCTATACAATGTAAAATTTTGCATTAATAGTTATAAAGATTTTATTTCAAATGTGCACATATTAATTATAATTGTGTGTCATATGTTTTTTGTCCAGACTACATTTACTCTTATCATTAATAGCTAAATTTACAGTATGTTGGAGCTTCATATTTTTTATTTCAACAAATGCATATTTGTAATAATGTGAAATAACCACATCTTTTGCCTATTGAATACATGTGGTTCATGATTTCACAATGATTGGAATATCACAACAAATGAACTGTGGTAAAATGTTGAAACAGCATGAACTGACATCCCAGGCACACATCTAATGTCTGTTCCTCTCTATGCCAGGCTGTGTAGTAGCAATTACCATATTTACTTGCATATAAGACAAGGTTTTTATTAATTTATCACAGTTTCAAATTCCTAGGTCATCCTATATGCATGAGCGAAAAATTCTTTGTGTTTTTGCAAATAATTTTTGTGAATTGTGTATTTGCATTTTTTACTGGATGCTTACCCTCTGGTATTTAAGAACATAAGTATTTTATCTGGGTAGTTTTTGTATATTGTCAGGAGTAACAATGAATAGCAATTGGAAAAGCAAAGCTTTTGAATTGAATTCCAGATTGAAATTCCAAAATGACACGGGAGTACGATATAAGTTTTAATCCATTCCCACATGAAAACAGATGATTATTTGGAAATCAGAATTTGGAGAAAGTGTAATTGACAGAGTGAATTCGAATGTTAAGAATTGGCAAAAAGGGTTCCGGATTGTCCAGCTTTACATGAACAAATTATGTTGTCAATTTTACAAGATTTGTCCTTAAAGTTTAAAATGCCAGTAATTTTTTGGGGACAATATATGCATTTAGGTGCATTTGATATTTTACTTGTGATTAAACAAAATAAAATTAAAATTGTATTAATAAATCTAATTATCTTTATTTTGATCTTTAAAATAAAGATAATTAGATTTACTTGTTGTCCTATATGCAAGGTTGTCTTATATGCAAGTAAATATGGTATTACCACCAGGTGGCTGCAGCTACTGATTTCTGCATGTTCTGCAGCTGAAACCAAGCTGAAATTGTAATTGTTTTTAATTTATAATCATTATATCCAAATTTAGCCTGATCATTTATGGCAGTTGTGGGTGTATATTTTCTTAATACAACAGGTTCCGTTGTGTATATTTGTAATCATTTTGCCCTTGTTCCATGAATTATCTGTATAATACATACAGATCTGATAGCTCTTGTCCTCTTACTTTACAATCTTAATCGTTAGCAGTGTATGTTATCCTTTCATAGATTTATACAAAAGAATATGTAAAAAATGTTTAGCTAAATTGAAGTTTAAATGCTATTGTGCAATAATTTGATTAATTATACCATAATTGATGTTGCATTGCTGATATTAAAAGAAAAAAAACTAAATTTTAAATCCATAATAAAAATAAATACTGAAAAAAAAAAAACTAACAATTTTTAAACAAGAACCTTGTATTATTTGATTTTTCACTTTTTACATATTGTAGTTGCTGAGAGCATTAACTAAAAGATTGATACTCCAATATTGATAACTTATCCAACAATGTTTGTTGTGGATTTATCAATTATATGATGTAGCAATTCTTCACTTACAACAAGTTAAAATAACAGATGTTGAAAATTTTTTGGACTAAAATAGTTTTTACGGTGAAACAGCCTGCTTTCTTAATTATACTGTTTGTATAATTAAAAATGTAGAATCTATACAATGTAAAATTTTGCATTAATAGTTATAAAGATTTTATTTCAAATGTGCACATATTAATTATAANATTAAAAATAGCAGCGATTCAAATAATGCTAACTTTTTTACGACTAACGATGTAATATGCGGTTTCAGTACACGCTACCATCATTTCGACGCCATCTTTGAGAGAGGAAGTTTTACTTCCGAGGTAGCATGCTTTCGCCAGTATCTTTAAATGTCCGATTACGTAACTAATAGTGCGTTCAAACTTTTTACTACGATTGTCAGCAACTATTTTAAATACAATCAACATTCATTTAACGCAGATATGCAGAGATATCAGTATCGGGGTACGTTTGCACCGTTTCGCGTTTTCAATATGGCGTCGAAATGATGGTAGCACGTGCTTAAAACAGCTTCATTTCGGTATAGTTTACCCTCTTTGTTTTTATCAGGATCATAACGTTGACCACAGCCTCTGTTGTAACATTGCAATAAATCTTCTTGTACATTAGCCATTTCTGAAAAATTAAAAAAATATGTGAAAATTTATATTCAACTCAAAGTTATAACTTTGTTTCTACGGCAACTCACGCTTTATTCGCCTCAAAGATGTTTAATAATGCTGAAAGAACGATTAATAAATATATAAATAAAACTTGAATGCTATCTTCACTAAATAAGTGATTTTTACAACTATAACTTTGAAGTTCAAATTGTTAATTTAAAACACACAAAACTGGATCTTTCTAGAAACTCAACCTATCATCAAATTGCAATAATAACAAGAGAAGAGCAGTGATGCCAGATGTGCTCGATGTATTTTTTTTATAAACTTAATACTTGGTGAAGAGAATGTAAGATATTTCGTTAAAAATAGTGTTCTATTTTAAAAAAAGAAATGGAAAATCTTCATTTTGTGGGGAATTTTAACACAGGAAAAACTTTTAATTAATTACGACTCCGAGGATGAAAGTATTGCAAGTAGACGACGAACGATATTTCACTACTGTTACTGAAAAGTCACCGTTAACGCCGGTTACGTAATATATAGATATTCGGTGATTCTTGTAATTATGATGAAAACAGACCATAAAAATATCACCCGTAATTACAAAAATTCATATAACAGGTACACGAACAGGACAGTTGACAGCGTGTATGGGACTCGAGGTTGAGTGAGACTCTCTTAGTTTTAAACAAATAAAATACACAGAATATTTATTTATTAATAAAGAACATTAAAAATTTTATTATAAAAAAATAAAACATTAACGTTAATTTTATAGGGTTTAGAATCACTACAGGTCCTCAAATCTTTTCCAGTTCCGGGGAAAATTTCCAACTATTCTTGCCCTCTCTATGACTACTACCATATAATTAATTTAATGTTTGTTAATGTGATCTGCTTGTCCCATTTATTAACTAAGCCATTTCATCAGTAGCAGTGAAATGTTAGGACAGTGTTCATTAAATGTGCATGCAAATTCAAGTTTTTTTTAATATTGCTCTATACATAAAAATTGGAAAAGTTAATAAACATTTCTCAAGTAACAAAACTGAAAAATCAAAGAGTAACTTCTGTATTCTATGATTAAGAAATTAAGTAAAGGCTATGTAATAACAAATTTTATAATCACTTTTATAAACTTAAGATCCTTAATACTAACTTCTCTATGGAAGTAGATATATTCTACATATGTGCAACATAATGGTCATGTATTGTACTTATTATCAAATTAAATATTCTCTTATATATTGAATATAATTTGATATATGCACATGTTTATTAAAATGAATCAAAGTAAAAGACATTGCTATTAGAAGTTTAAACTCTTGTAAATCATGAAAACTACATTGATTATATGATTATTTATAGATTTAAATAAGTAAATTATCAAGTACAGAAAAATGTAAATTTTTATATAACTTTGAAATGCCAATTTTTAGGGAATTAGCTCAATATTCTACCAGCCAAACTATCATCTAATAACTGATTATAACTGGAATATTTATATAATGACATAAAAAGATGTATGACTAACATTGCAAAATGTATATTGTACAGTGGTGTGTGGTGACATTTGATGTTAGGGAAGCTGTGTCGGCCCCAGATAGAATCATTGAAAGCGTTATACGATATTTTGGTGTGTAGCAATGACAAGCTAAACCATGTGAGGTTGGTGCTCTGTAAAGTGCATGTGTAAATGCATGTAATCTGGCTGCTTTACACGATTTAAATATTTTCGCCACGGACACTGTCCTGTATTCAACAATACAGCACTTCCGTTGGGAATATGTATACACAAATTTATATTCGAATGTACAATGGCAATCTTGTCATTTTTTTTTTTCACATATAGTATAGAAATTTGTAATAAGATCCATAATGCGGTTACAATAAAATAATTTTAATTGATTCAAAGTATGTTAAAATATGAAAATAATCGTACAATATGGATTTATATTTTAAAAAATACAAGGGAAGTGGCACTTCCACAGCTTCCATGAATGGCATGCCATTGATATTGTATGTATAATGTATAACATACATTGTAAAATGTATTGTATATATAATATGTAATATGAAAAGTACAGATAAAAAAAAAAGTGTAATTAAAAAAAATTATTTTTTGGAAAATATAATTAACTCTCAGATAAGATATAATCAAGAAACACTTAATCTTTGATGCTAAATAACAAAGAGGTATTTTGATATTCTTTGGGTGCTGTTTTTCGGAATATACAGTTGACCCCCCTATAACACTGTTGATTATTCCGTTTTATGTGAATTCCATGTTGTATGAGTCACTTAGATTTTATAAATGTGTGTGCTGGGCTGTGAAAGGCTCACGTATTTACTATTATATATCTTTGTAAAACACTATTAAATAATCTACAGCTACAATATTATGTCATTAAGGACATTTTCCTTTGACCTATTTACTCCCTCTAAAAGTTCATTTCTATTCCTAAATACTTAGAGCAATGGGAATCAAACATCATAAGCTTAAATAAATTTTGCTTATTTTCTGGTTGCTTTTATATGATTGGCCTGTTCTTTCCACAGATACTTTCAGTGTAACACAGTTTTAAACACAACCAATATGACATATTTTCGAACTTTACTTAAGGCTATTATATACGAACAAAATTACTTATATGACTACGATGTACATATTAAAAATAGTGATGTTCCGGATATCCGTATCCGTATCCGTATCCGCGGATATCCGAGGGAAAAAAAAGATCCGTATCCGTATCCGTATCCGTTACCTTTTAGCGGATCTTTAACGGATCTTTTATCTTAATGATTTTCATTACTTATATGAAATTTTAAAGAGAGAGAGCAATAAAATACTAACAACTTCAATTCAAATCACTTTTTATTTATTAAAATCACATATTTGGCACTTTTATATTGCAAAAATTAAATATTTAAACATTAATTATAAGTTACCAGTATAAGGTATTAATTTAACTATCTTTATAGTGAGATCAAACCTCTAATGCTAATTGAAATAATCATCACGGTTATATTATATTATAATAATTATCAAAGAATTTTAATTATCAAATTATCAGATAAAATAATCACAATTTTAGAAACTTCAAAAAAATTAAATGTCATAATCAAAATTAATTAATGGTAAATTGTACTTCAAAAAGAGTAACTTGGCAGCTTTATCCCCCAAAAGTCTATTACGATGAGGATCGTAAATAATTCCTGCTGCACTGAAAAACTGCTCACTTGGAACGCTTGTTGCAGGTGATGATAAATATGTGCGAGCCATGTGACTAAGACCTCCAAATTTTTTACTATTAATCTCCCAATACTTTAATGGATCTTGGTCTCTTGATAATCTTTTTTCTTTGGCATATTCTGTGAGCAAATTAGCATTAGTGTATGATATTTGGTTTTCAGATTCCTCATCTTCATCGTCACTATCTAACATATTAGCCATAGAGTCTTCTAAATTGTTGCAATATTCTTTTCTTACAGCATTTGATTTTTCTGTGCTAGTTGTAGTTGTTGTGATATTTACTTCTGTTTCTAAAGCTGTAAGTAGTTTCTGTTTTNATCTAATAACTGATTATAACTGGAATATTTATATAATGACATAAAAAGATGTATGACTAACATTGCAAAATGTATATTGTACAGTGGTGTGTGGTGACATTTGATGTTAGGGAAGCTGTGTCGGCCCCAGATAGAATCATTGAAAGCGTTATACGATATTTTGGTGTGTAGCAATGACAAGCTAAACCATGTGAGGTTGGTGCTCTGTAAAGTGCATGTGTAAATGCATGTAATCTGGCTGCTTTACACGATTTAAATATTTTCGCCACGGACACTGTCCTGTATTCAACAATACAGCACTTCCGTTGGGAATATGTATACACAAATTTATATTCGAATGTACAATGGCAATCTTGTCATTTTTTTTTTCACATATAGTATAGAAATTTGTAATAAGATCCATAATGCGGTTACAATAAAATAATTTTAATTGATTCAAAGTATGTTAAAATATGAAAATAATCGTACAATATGGATTTATATTTTAAAAAATACAAGGGAAGTGGCACTTCCACAGCTTCCATGAATGGCATGCCATTGATATTGTATGTATAATGTATAACATACATTGTAAAATGTATTGTATATATAATATGTAATATGAAAAGTACAGATAAAAAAAAAAGTGTAATTAAAAAAAATTATTTTTTGGAAAATATAATTAACTCTCAGATAAGATATAATCAAGAAACACTTAATCTTTGATGCTAAATAACAAAGAGGTATTTTGATATTCTTTGGGTGCTGTTTTTCGGAATATACAGTTGACCCCCCTATAACACTGTTGATTATTCCGTTTTATGTGAATTCCATGTTGTATGAGTCACTTAGATTTTATAAATGTGTGTGCTGGGCTGTGAAAGGCTCACGTATTTACTATTATATATCTTTGTAAAACACTATTAAATAATCTACAGCTACAATATTATGTCATTAAGGACATTTTCCTTTGACCTATTTACTCCCTCTAAAAGTTCATTTCTATTCCTAAATACTTAGAGCAATGGGAATCAAACATCATAAGCTTAAATAAATTTTGCTTATTTTCTGGTTGCTTTTATATGATTGGCCTGTTCTTTCCACAGATACTTTCAGTGTAACACAGTTTTAAACACAACCAATATGACATATTTTCGAACTTTACTTAAGGCTATTATATACGAACAAAATTACTTATATGACTACGATGTACATATTAAAAATAGCAGCGATTCAAATAATGCTAACTTTTTTACGACTAACGATGTAATATGCGGTTTCAGTACACGCTACCATCATTTCGACGCCATCTTTGAGAGAGGAAGTTTTACTTCCGAGGTAGCATGCTTTCGCCAGTATCTTTAAATGTCCGATTACGTAACTAATAGTGCGTTCAAACTTTTTACTACGATTGTCAGCAACTATTTTAAATACAATCAACATTCATTTAACGCAGATATGCAGAGATATCAGTATCGGGGTACGTTTGCACCGTTTCGCGTTTTCAATATGGCGTCGAAATGATGGTAGCACGTGCTTAAAACAGCTTCATTTCGGTATAGTTTACCCTCTTTGTTTTTATCAGGATCATAACGTTGACCACAGCCTCTGTTGTAACATTGCAATAAATCTTCTTGTACATTAGCCATTTCTGAAAAATTAAAAAAATATGTGAAAATTTATATTCAACTCAAAGTTATAACTTTGTTTCTACGGCAACTCACGCTTTATTCGCCTCAAAGATGTTTAATAATGCTGAAAGAACGATTAATAAATATATAAATAAAACTTGAATGCTATCTTCACTAAATAAGTGATTTTTACAACTATAACTTTGAAGTTCAAATTGTTAATTTAAAACACACAAAACTGGATCTTTCTAGAAACTCAACCTATCATCAAATTGCAATAATAACAAGAGAAGAGCAGTGATGCCAGATGTGCTCGATGTATTTTTTTTATAAACTTAATACTTGGTGAAGAGAATGTAAGATATTTCGTTAAAAATAGTGTTCTATTTTAAAAAAAGAAATGGAAAATCTTCATTTTGTGGGGAATTTTAACACAGGAAAAACTTTTAATTAATTACGACTCCGAGGATGAAAGTATTGCAAGTAGACGACGAACGATATTTCACTACTGTTACTGAAAAGTCACCGTTAACGCCGGTTACGTAATATATAGATATTCGGTGATTCTTGTAATTATGATGAAAACAGACCATAAAAATATCACCCGTAATTACAAAAATTCATATAACAGGTACACGAACAGGACAGTTGACAGCGTGTATGGGACTCGAGGTTGAGTGAGACTCTCTTAGTTTTAAACAAATAAAATACACAGAATATTTATTTATTAATAAAGAACATTAAAAATTTTATTATAAAAAAATAAAACATTAACGTTAATTTTATAGGGTTTAGAATCACTACAGGTCCTCAAATCTTTTCCAGTTCCGGGGAAAATTTCCAACTATTCTTGCCCATGTCCTTGTATGTAACCTTCATCGTATTTATAAAAGTCTCCGATCTCCGACTATCAAAATATTATGTCACTGGCATTGTCGATGATTTTTCTTCGTGATTTAATTAATCACGGGTGGTGAAATATCGCTCATTGAATACCAGTAACGCATGATATAACATTTCATTATTCGGTGGTCGGCGATTTTTGTAATTACGGTGGAGTTACAAAAATCATCGAAACTACTTGAATGTTTGTATCCATAGTTACACTCACTCACAGTTACATAAACACCGTCAAAAGCTTGTATAGGGTCCGGGGTAGAGCCCCTTTTGCGTCTTAGTGAGCAACTTTAGTCTCGTTTTTTGAACAAATGGAATATGTATAATGTTTCTTCCAATGAAACACTCAAGATTTAATCTTGGAGAGAGCTGAATTGAACGGATAAAAATTTTTAATACGAATTCAATAAAATTTCCATCTTACGTGACCGCTAATTCATTAGTAGTGTAGAAATAGAAGACATGGCCCAATATAAATTTAAAAAATTAATTTTAATTAGAAAAAGAGTTTTGGAAAACTTTCTACTTTTTTCCTTCTCTTTGGAGAGGTCTTTTTTTTACACTCTTTCCACCCTGTGGGCACTAAGAGGGCCTCTTATAGCAGGCCCATTATGGGTTCGGCCAGGCCCACAATGGGGGGACCGGGTGGTGAGGGACGGAGCCCGACATATCCGAACGGACCACCCCCGAAAAATTCCTCGGGATTCCTTGACCCGACCGGATTCGCTCCGGGTCCCCCAGAGCGGTAGGCTGCCACCTTGACAGCTCAGCCATCCGTCCTAAATCTTTGGAGGGGTCAGGGGCCAGTGGCATACCCCTCCCTGGGTATGCCACTGGTTTCTTCTATATACAGATATTTAAAATTGAATTCTTGTCCGAATATTTCGCGAGAACGGCTGGTTCGATTTCTATCAGGGCTGTCGAGTCGCGTAAAAATCTACCGACTCCGACTCCGACTAGGGGCAGACTTGTTACCGAAAGAGACCCGGAAATTCTGATGTCATCACATGACCTCAGAATAAAATATTCAATAAATAGAGTTGTAATAAAGATAGAACGTAGAAACTTTTTATTCCAAAGCTAAAAGACTTCTCTAAGTAATATATAAATATGTATTCGATAATTTTTACTTTTCCGGCTGTTATATATAACAGAGGAAAAGTGTAACGCGCGGTCAAAAAATGACCCCTCCCAAATTTTTACATTTTTGGACTCGGGACACCTCGAAATTTCGAGATATGCAAAAGATTCGAGGTTTTTTCTATATGTGTGGATGTTAGACTGTGTGGGGGGG